TGTTAGTTTCTAAGAAAAGGATATAACTCATACCTAAAGTTACAGCTCGTACCGAAAACTCTCCCTCCTCGTTTACCGTCACAACACTGTGGAAACTTCCTCAAAATCCCTTCCAAACACTCAAAGCACTTTGTAAATATTAAGTCTTTCGTACACTGCACCATTGCATACACCTTCTTTGTCCCAATTCTCTTCTCCCCTGCTGCGTACAACACCAATTGTTTACCATCCAAGTTGTTTCTATCGGAGGCTTTATATGCCAGCTTCTCCAAGAGAGCCGACGTCTCCTTGTTGAACAACCCCCGATCACTCATGTTGTTTGGGTTGGACAAATAGAAATCGTTCTCATAATCTATCTTATTGAAGGAGGCAACTGAAGATATCTTTAAAAGACATTGGTCATACCATATTATTGCTCCCTTATTTCTTGGACATCTCCTACGAAGCTGTCACATACATATACGTACATATATATCAAGAACAATATTGCATTGTTTAATCAGTATTTTTTAACTAGCCTTTAATGTCTATCAGTTTTGTCTCAATTCAATCATTTATATAAAGTATCAGGATCATTGCCCACATATTTAAGATTTGACAGAAAAAATTAACCGACGTGTGTGCTCATCGTAATTTTTACATGTAACTATATGACTGCTAATTTATAATATTGAAGTCACAATTACCCCAGAGACGGCGGTGCTAATGCAAGGGGGGGCACTTGGACCAGTAGGAGTCGCCGCGACACTGGAACATGACAAAGACGTTATTGGGATCCTCACCTTCTTCGGTGTAGCGGAAACCGTCACGAAAATTTCCAATCGAGGTGATGGTACTGAGGACTAAGTTGAGATTTTTCTCGAACGCGCTCCCCTGCTTATATTTTCCTTGAGTGTTGCTGCATTTGTGGTGCAGATACGCATTGGTAAGGTTCAGAGATGAAACACTGTGTGTAAGGAGGAGTTGTATGGCTATCATGGCCAAGATATGGACAGATCCAAAAACTGAAGACATTGTTTGAGATATCTGATATTTTTGGTGTGTGTGTTTTTTCATTAGATGAATCGTTAAGGAGTTGGAATCTTTATATAGGGGAGACTCGAGGGATTGCTATTGCTCTAAAGTGAAGTTCATCTTTTTTATAAAAAAATTGGTAATATTACAATTACTGGAAGTTGTCAGTTTGAGGTCACACACAACAAAATTCGATTGATCATCTCATTTTCTAAAAAAAAAAGTTTATAAGACAGGAGAGAGGAGTTGAGCGTTTAGACTAGTATTTTGCGGCGAAGGGACAGGAGGCGATGAAAAAGTCAAAGTTCGAAGGTTTGTCTGATTTAAATCACACAATAAGTTCTGTCTCGACCTGAAATGAAGGCAGTGTGTGAGTTTATTACTAGTTTATGTAATTATGCAACGACACCGTACAGTTTCATCTCATATCATGTTATATATTACTCTCTCTGTAAGTTTGATGTTTTAAGTTTCGCACATAAATTAAGAAAAAGTAACTTTTCTATTTAATTTTAATTACTATTTTAATAGTTTAATAATATTACTATTACCTCGCTCCTTTCACTATTGGCAACAAACAAGATTAATAATCATATTTAATTTTTACAAAACATCAATCTTATGGAACAAATAAAAAGTCTTCGATAACGCTCTGCATCTGTCATAATCCCTTGATTGACCACTAACCAGAAGAAAGCTCTCACACGTTCTGGAACCTTAACTCTCCATATCCGATAAAAGAATTTCTCCATATTAGGTCGTGGACTATCATCCCAACTCAGCATATTATAAGCGGACGATACACTGAATTGGCCATTCTGACTCTCATTCCAGGAGATTCTGTCTCTCGCCACTGTCTCATGATCCAATACGATTGCCCGTAGCTCTAGACATCGGCTCTCTGAAACATACGGACTGATCCTACTGATATCCCAGCCACTATCGTCCTTCCACAAACTCCGCACTGACTCTGTCTCCAAGTTCGCCGGAACCACGCCCTGCCCATCTTCCCATAAGGGTTTCCCTGAGACCCAGATATCTCGCCAAAAACGAATATGATGTTCATCACCAGGAACCCAGCAAGTCCCCCGCGATATCACATCCACAAGCCCTCTTACAATGCTTCTCCAAGTTGATGACCAAGTCCCCTTCTTACGCAGCCACTGACAATCCCGGAGATCGCCAATTTTATACTTTTTTCTTAAGACCTCAGCCCAAAGACTCGACTGGTCCTGCAGCAGACGCCAACCAACCTTAGCAATAAGAGCCTTGTTCATCAATTTCGCATTGCGAATGCCCAAACCCCCATCTTTCTTAGGTAAGCAGACCTTTTTCCAAGACACCAAGTGTTGTTTTCTCTTCTCAGCCGTGCTTCCCCAAAGAAAGGAACGAGAAGCTTTGTCCAATCGAGTAATAGTCGATTGTGGTAGCGCAATAGAACTCATTGTATGGACCGGTATAGATGATAATACAGCTTTGGTAAGCGTCATCCGTCCCGCAAAACTCAAAGTTCTCTCCTTCCAACCCGACAAACGGGAAGAGACCTTCTCCAAAAGTTCACTGAAAGTATCCTTATTGATGCGTTTATGAAGTACTGGCATCCCAAGATATTTACCCAAGTCTTTTGTTGCTTTAATCCCGCTCTCCTCACTTATCAGTTTGCTCAGATCACGTGAGACATTCCCTGAAAAAAATATTTTTGACTTCTCCAGGCTAATCTTTTGACCAGAGGCTATACAAAATGTCTCCAGCACCTTCCGAATCACTCTTATCTGCATTACTGAAGCCTCCGCAAATAAAATTAGATCGTCAGCAAAACAGATATGAGATAACTTGGGACCGCCTTGAGACAAACTAATGGGCTTCCACTGTTTGTTATCAATCGATCGCTCAATCAAGTGACAAAGCCTCTCCATACATAGCACAAACAAATACGGAGATAAGGGATCACCCTGGCGGAGGCCCCGTAACGGCTTGAAGGAGTCTGTTCTCTCTCCATTCCACAACAAACTCATCTCCGGGCCCGACACACAGCACATTATCCATCTTACCCAAACTTCGGGGAACCCCGCAGAAATAAGTGTATCCTCCAGATAATCCCATCGGATCCTATCATAAGCCTTCTCCAAATCCAACTTCAAAAGCATCCAGCCCTTTACCCCTTTTTTTCTTCTCATGGAATGGACTGCTTCTTGAACGAACACTATATTATCCGTACTTACTCTCCCGGGGATAAAACTAGCTTGAGCCGGACCAATCAGATTTGTCATTAAAGGTTTCAGACGCTCTACCATCGTCTTAGTGATGATCTTGAAAAGCACATTGCATAGGCTGAGGCTCCTCTTTTTAACAAGCCCCAGCTCACTTCGTTAGGGTCTGTTTTCTCGGAGATACTGCCGTTTATCTGCAGAAGACTGACAAAATACAGATCGATCTATATCCGATCTGTTGACCTCGGAATCAAAGCATCAACTGAGCCCCGAGGCTTATCTTTCAATAGAGACCGACCTCATCCAATTCCGAGCTGTTTACTAAGCGTTATCACTGTTTCAATGAAACATATGACACCTGTCAAATCGCAGATTCGAACTGTGGGAGCAACTGGATTAGAAAGCAAACTCCCAACGATTCAGAAAACATCAAGAGCCCATCTTAATATCATCATGAAGCTCTGAGGCTTATCTTTCCAACAAGATCGATTTTGCTCCATTTGGTGCTGTCTTCCGAGAGTTATAGGTTTTTCTCTCAAGCATGCGTTGTTTATCGAGACACAGATCCGTCTACACCCGATCTGTCTGCTTTCAGATCGATTTCCCGGCGATCTAAAAGGAACCAGGAGCCGATCTGCACATCATTTTGAAGCTACAAGGCTTATCTTTCTAACGGATTCATCCTTGCCTCAATTGATTACGTTTAACAAGAGTTATTACTGTTTTTCTGCGACAAGCACGTCCTGGCTGTAGCCCAAAGATGCATGTCTGCGGCTATCAGATCAGCCACCTTTGTGACCGATTTTACGTCCATCGTCGTTTCCAGGACGATTCCACCAACATTCCCATCTTAGGCTTCACGTCTTCACCTCGTCACCGATGGTCTTCAATTTAAAAAGCTTCACGTCATCGCCACGCCTCATCACCACGGACCATGTGTCAGAGGCATAGAACGCAACATATATCTAAGAAAAATCGTCCCTTCCTCGCCTTGGAGAGCTTCTGCTTTATCTTCCTTAATCACAAGACGTTGTTCAGATCTCACAAAATCATGTCGTGTAATGAAAATTCAAAGGAAAGAGAAGTAAAGAAGAAAGATCACCAGAAGTCAGCCAAAGAGTAAGCATCACTGGATACTGCCTCCTATATTCACTGAGGATCGTATGTTGCTACCGGAGCAACCGAAACCAAAAACAAATATAGCAAAGGAAGGAATTTAAAAGCAGAGTGGAGATGGTAGGTTGAGAAGCTCTCTGGCGCCGGAGATAAGGTCGAAAACCCGATACAAAGGCTCCAACGTGACCACTATCAATCCGATAGTCCACCACACCTGACTGTTCGTCAAACGGACTCAAGATCAAGAAGTTATTCATCTTGCTTCCTGTAAAAGAAACAATTGGAATAGTCCTCAATGTGCCTAGTCTGAAACAAAATTTGATGTGCAACTAGAGCTTTTGCGAGACATTTTCCCGACGCATCAGAAAGACCTAAGGTCTAACTAAGTACTCTTAGCGAAGATCTCACTACAAGGAATCATTTCCCGTAAGCGGATTACCAATTCGTGTTAATCTCCATCTGCAAATCACCTTCAAAGTTGGCCCACAATCATCCAAACTGCAGAAATCAAGAAAAAACGACTTTGTCGTAGCGACTTCAGAGGATCATGGAAGATACATACGACGTCCGATCAAGCTATAAATTTACAGTGATTCTTGACGCTACTAGATAATAATTCAACGGTGGGATCGAGAAATCAACGGTTCAGAATAAAGTTATTAATGCATCTCCGAATCAGCCAAAGGAAGAAAAATAAACTGTCACAGCAACTTCATAAGACGGTAGAAGCCTCAGGCAATATCCGATCTGACTAAAATTCGGACAAAATCTTCGTGGGACTATCAGCTAAAGATTCAACGGTGGGATCAATAATTTAACGGTTCAAACGGAAGTTATCAGTTCTTCTATAAATCAGCAAAAGGAAGTACAGACAATGGATCATCACTAGCAATCGCTCAAGGCTTCCACTCATTCATCAATGATGCGATCTCCAATTCTGTCTCCGTCTCGACGACCTCCCACATAAAAGATAAGTTCAATTACTTTCTTACATATTAGTTAAGCTTGATTGACATTTTCGCTTATATCACTAGCTTTCATCATTGCTTTTCTCTTTCTACGCAAAGATGAGATCTTCTCTAACGAACATCTCAAATGTAGATTTTCATCCATCGACGTTTACAATTTCGGATATTCAGATCGTCCATATCGTTGATGTCATCATCTCCATCTCCAAACCGCTGAGATAAGTGTTATCGATTATAATCTAACAAACATCACTCAATCATATACATGCATTATCTGTTATATTTTTTTGCATAGATTTTCGAAACACTCGTCTATGCAAAAAAAAAAAAAAAAAAAAAAAAAAAAAAAAAAAACACGAGCTCGGTAATCCGACCTCTCTATTAGAACTCGAACTATGAATGGCTTGATCCCTAACTAGGCAATCCTTCGTAAGGATGCAGCTATACCACTTAATAAAATTAAAGTTTGCATTCTCAATACGGAATTCGCTTTAAGATCTGTAATAAATCAACTCTCGGCACCCTGGCCAGGTGTTCGATGCGCGTCTCACATGGATGCAGTGGTGAAATAATCGACGCCCTATTAGAAACTTAATTTTTCTAATAGGGATAGCCGAGACCAGTTTTCTCGCACTTAAGCTCTGGTTCGGACAGAAATATAAGCCGAACCTGTATTTCGCGATCTGCCGAACAGATGCTCTACGGGGAGTAAGCCGAGCCCAGCATCTGGCTCCCCAACTAATATGCTGAGTCCGCCTCATTTTTTATACAGAGCCCAGAACTCCCTCTTTAAATTATACATAGGCCTACTGGGCATAAGCCGAGAGACGTCTCTCGCCCAGTCCACGCCGAATACTTTTATTTAGAAAGCCGAGCTCAGTCTCGCACTTAACATCTAACCCGAACTTAGACAGAAAAAATCGGCTGTGACGTTAGGTGAAAACCAGTCCGCCCGAAAGCCGAGCTCAAAGCTTGCAGATGGCTTATAATTTAGTCGATTTAAAACCTAATTTCAAGATTGGGAATCCGATATGGTTAATACGTAATCAACCGACGGAGGTTCACAAAAAAAAAAAAAACATGAACTTGTTCTTAAGGACAAACATTTTATTCAAATATAAAAGTCTGAAAGATAAGAGTGGTCGACATAAGTCAACCGACCTTCCTAGCTCCCAGTTCGTCTGTAGCTTTCCTAGCTCCCAGCTCGTATGCACTTCGCCTAGCTAACTGCTCGTCTGCAGATGCGATCTGGAAATTCTCATTTTCCTTTTCCGAGAAACACTAATATTTGCATTTTCTCCAAAACTGGGAAAATGGGAATTTACTTGATTACGGGTTGACTTCCCACAATTTCCTTTTCCAAAAAAATGACAAAGCTCATAAATGGAAAACATAGAGAAAATACTATTCTGCCTCGGAAACAGGCAAGATGGAAAATCATCGAAAATAGAAGTTAAAATTAAAACACCGCCCCGAAAGTGGGTCCACGGTTAAATGAGTTTTGAGAACGCCCCGAAAGTTGGGTCCACGATCGATGTACCAAAATAAATTACAAAGACGACCTATTCAGATCGTCTGGCTCGCCTCTTCAACGCTTACGTCGAATATCACTTCCGCAAACAAGGTCGACATTCGAGCCGTGCTGGTCCGCCACTGGAGCAACTTGAGAGGTTTGCCTGGAAAAACCAAGCTGATCTGGAGACATGTTCAGGTCTTCATCCCCAAGCTCGATGACGTTCAAAGCATTGACTTCGTCGGACGCCCTTTTGGTTAACTCCTTAAGGCTGCTGAGTTCGGATGCCGCAATCTTCGCGCCTCTCTGCATCAGAATACCTACTATCTCCTCAGCACCTTTGGCCTGATTCTCAGCATCCACCTTCGGCCCGACGAGGTCCTCTTGCTCCTTGAGATAAGCCTTTACTCTATCAAGACGAGCTTGGGCTTTCTTTGTAGTACGGGCGACCTTAGCAGCTCGATCATTCCGCAGTCTGTTGCACTCCCGCTCCCCGTGCTCCTTCGCAGCAACCAACGCGACTTGAAGATCGCTGATCTCTTTCTGAAGATCAGCTTCTCGACCATTGAGCCTCTTGACCTCGTCGTTCAACGAGCTCATCTCCGCCTTATGAATCTCGGCAGCATCTTTCAATGCAGCCATTTCCTTCATGTCTTTGGCATAGATGGCTTTGGCCTGGTCTGCGCACTTCTTCAAGTTATCGAAGGCCTCTCTGTCGGCGAGCTTCAGCTTCAATTTGCGATCATATGTCGCGATCAGATCATTGGCCAGGGCGGCGGTCTGGAAAAAGAGACGGTTAAAGCCGAAATACAAAGATATTGAGCCACAAGAAAACAAGTAACTAGCGTGTACCTCAAGTGATGACCTGGCGAAGTTCTGATATCCTTCTTTCAGAATCAGGTCGTCGGGATTAGGAAAATCTTTCGTCCCGGGGAGCATCAAATTACGCCAAAGATGACTGGCGGCCTCCTGATCTCTCACAAGGAATTTCTCGCCAAAATACTTGAACGTAAACTGGTCGGAGTTGAGAGTCTCACCTCGCGACAGGCGGAATGTTTTCGGAGCAGCAGTTTCATCTAAACCGGCTTCAGAAGCTGACCTCTTCTTGGATTGGGTAGCCACTCCTTTCCCTTTCTCCTCACGGGACCTCCTGGAAATCCCGAGCTCCGCAACGGTTTCATCCTTGTCTTGATCAAGGATAGTTAGGCCCGCGTGGACCTCTTCGCTCGCTGGCGCGGCGGCATAATCGACGACGGAGCGGTCGCCGGTAACACTTTGAACTTCAGGTTCGACGACCTGAACAGATTGATTTTGATCGCACTCGGCGATCTCTTGAGCTGGAACGACGCCGTCCCCTTCAAGACACATCCTGTCTTGAGAATCCGGATTGACCGTCTCATGGGAGACCTGATCAACACCGGAAGGGCCAGCATTAACGGGAGGATTTGACGTAGCCGCCTCTCCGTCCAAAGGCCGAGTCTCTTCGATGGGAGCTGGGGGAGGTGGCATATTTAAAAGCCCGGCCGCAAAGCTAATGAAGGATTTCCGGACCTTCCCCATTATCCTGTTGACGCGCGACCTCGTGATGTCTTTCCACGCGCGACGCCGAGCTCGGAAGATTGCCTCTAAAACTCCTTCGAACTCAACGGGAAACTCCGGACTAGGCCTGTACCGATCTGCAACAAAAGAAAAGGCTATGAGAATCTAGTACGGATCGACATGTCTTTACCCTATCTATTTAAAAGAAATCTACCAGGAAACTCCGTCCACATCCTTTTCCTCCCCGAGAACGGACGCTCATACGATTCGAGGTCGACCCTGACGTAGAAGTAATATTCTTCCCAGTTCTTGAAGTTACTGACTTTGGGACCGGGAAGAAAGTTATGCTTTGGGCGGTTGTTCACCACCCAATAGCCGGGCGACCTGATAGCTTTCAACGTCGTCATTTCCTCAAAACAACGAACGTTTACCAGGTAACCTTCTTCAGCGCCGAAGGTCAGAGCGGCAACAAAATTGCAGATCGCCGCCGGAGTAAGCTGGGAGAACGCCATATGACGGCGGTTCAGAAAGGCGATGATCAGAGACGGAATTGGAAACCAGAGGTGACATTGTCTGAAGTAGGCTTCATACATACAGACGTACCCTCGAGGGGGATTCCATGGACGCTTATTTTCTCCGGGAATCATGTAAGTGAGCGGGCGATCTCCGGAGCCACACAAGGCAAATACTTCCGCGACTGACTCAGTTGTTGAAAGGGTCTTTTTCGCGGTGATCTCGGTGTTCCAGCTAACCACTGGGTCGAGGTCAAATTCAACATGATCCTCATGAAGTAATCGCGCATTAACTTCAGCCTCTGTATACTGCGGCTGCGTGTTATAAGCATCCTCCAGGTCGATGAGTGGGTCGAACTGAGCTAAGAAATCCACCGGATCTTCAGGAGCAGCGAGATGTCCACCGGAACCTTCCCGATCTGGCTCATCAAGCAACGTCGGAATCTCGATCCGGTTAGATCGACTAGACTGAGCTTCGTTACTTGGATTCCCGGTTAACCGAGAGTTTCGGCGAACTAACGACACTTCGCTCTCGGAGGAAGAAGAGGACGGAGAGACAAGAACAACCTTACCCATTGCCGGAAAAATCGATAAAGAATCGAGAGTACAAAATAATTCGCAGAGGAGAGAGCGAGAGCTACCTTAGATTCTTCTTGCAAGCGGCGGAAAATGATTTCCCGAGGGTTTAATCTAATATAAATAGAGGCGAATGGGCGGCAAACCTACGAGGTCATCATTAAACCTACGAGACGCTTCGGTTCCTGAGCTTCACGCGCGCGTACAGACGCGGCGATTTGACACGTGTCAGATACGTTCGAAATACTTGAGGGTTTAAAAATAAATTTAGTCAAATTTTATTTTTAAACCCTCAAGTATTTTTGTACATGTTTAAACCTTAGTTTGTAGATATAGTGGTTGTAGTTTTTTTTTTTTTCTCTTTTTTTGGGTGCAAAATAGTGGTTGTAGTTTCATAATCGTGTAAATCTCGATTCAAATCTTTTACATGATGTCAAAAAAAAAAAAAGGTTTTGATAATGACGTTTGACTAGACTAAATGACGTTTGACTAGACTAGATAAAGAAGGTTTTGATAATGAAATGACTCAATATTGATAAATGTGACTACAATCTAAGTCAAAAGATTAGGAATTATGATGATGTTTATATTAATGAATATGACCTTCTTGAATAGTTTATCCGTTTTCATCTCCCAATAAACAGATGGAATAACCAAACATCTACACGAACTTCATTAGTTTTATCATGAGAATGTCATTCAAAACCAACCTTGTTTCTAAATTGTTAAGGGCGGCTATAATCAAAGTCAAACAAAAACAAAGTCGTTATTCCAATGCATGTCGACACTAATGAGTTTCTTCCTTATATGGATATTAATTTCAATTAGTTTTTTAGGATGTGCGATTGCAATGATTGTATTGTAATTTCAACTAAAAATGCAATCATTTGTTGCTATATTCTCATTTCTTTAATCAAATTATGGACAAAAAAAAACAATAGATGGTGATCAAAGCAGTTTCGCTGCCTAGTTGTAGCGACTGCCTGATAACCATCTAACGTGATAAGCCAACGAATGGATAGTAAACAAATAATTATCCAGAG